CCAGAAGGAAAAATAAGAAAAAAAAAGATTAAAAGTGTATTTACCATATGACCCAGTAATTCCACTCCTAAGAATCTATCCAAAGAGCACAAAAATACAAATGCAAAAAGAAGCCTGTACTCCTATGTTACAGTAGCCAAGATATGTAAACAATTTAAATGCCTCAAAACAGACGACTGGATCAAAAAAGATGTGGTACATATTCACAATAGGATACTCCTCAGTCATCAAAATAGATAAACTCATTTCACTTGGGATAACATGGATGGGACTTGAGGGGATTTTTCTAAGTGAAGTGAGCCAGAAGGAGAACGAAAAACACTGGATAGTTTCACTTATGTGTGGAACCTAGAAAAATTAAACAAAGGATCAAACAAAGACAAGGTGTATGATCACCCCTGAAAGCAGACTGTAGATCTGAGGTACCAGGAGAGGAAGGAGAGGTAGAGGGGGAGAGTAGAGAATGGTGTGGGGGAGAGATGGAGGTGGGTGGGGAGAGGTGGGGAGTATTGAGAGTGTGGTAGAGAGTGGTAGAGGACTGTGGGCACTTTGGTGGTGGTCAAACTATTTTGAATTCACCCGAGGGGAGAAATCCTATATTCTGAAAAAATAAACAAGGATGTCTAAAAACAAACAAACAAAAAACCCTAAACATTAAACCAGACAAATACATTACTTGATTATGGCATAATTTCACAGAAATTATTCACAATTGATATTTTAAAATAAATTGTATGCAAGTCAGTATTTATTCAGCAATTATTTGTCAGTTTTAGCTTATACAAATGTCATGTCTTAATTTTTTAAAGTTACACGTAAGGCAGTAATATATATGAATAGCTATGCAGTCATTATTAATTTGTTTTTTTCGTGTAAGTGTACTTCTTGGTACTATTTTTAAAAACAACTATTTTCAAGGCATTAATATGCTTAGACATTTATAACTGGAAAATTTCTTTTGAACTTGCAAAATTCAAAAAGCAAGTACATGTCTTTAGATTTTTCTTCAGAATCTTTCCCACGTATTATACTTCTGCTCAGAGTGGACATTGAAAGTGATATTAAAAGCTACCGCTGTAAGTGAGCAGTTTCCTGAGAAGTCACATCTAGCACTGACAGTCACAGACCTGTTTGGTATTGCAGAAATGAAGTCTTAAACCTCACTGCAACCCAAAACCACAGATGCAAGTAAGTCATTTTTATTGTGTCACCAAATCTCCCAATGACTCATGGTTCTCTCGCTTCCCCATTCTTGCTTGCTAGATATCACTGAGAGACTTCATTACAGCTGCTGTGGGAAGAATTGATATCTCTCCTGACCCAATTCTCCATATCAAAACATCTGTCTTATGCTCTCGACCCTTAAGCTTTTATAAAAGATAGCTTACTCCTCAACTAATAAACAAAATTAAATTAATCTGTTCATGAACACTTGATGTGTTCTTCAACAACGCAAAACACATTTGAACATCTACAGTGTTCAAATGATATTCTAGGCTCTGGGTGCATATGAAAGGTGTAAGAAAAAGAATCTCAATTTAATAATTTAAACCTTTAAAATTATATGGTATACAATTTTATAAGACTTTTTAAATTTAGCTAAAGGACACCAAAATTTAATGAGAAGGCATTATGGGCCAGTGGTTGTCTTTGGCTCTGTACCTACACAAGTGAATAAACCATTTTGTGCTCTCAAGGAACTCATAATACCATGGGGCAGAAGTTGCAAGCAGGTGTCTGCAGGCCATGCCTGCCTACAGATTCCTTTCAGTTTTGATTGGTACAGTGCATTAGCAAATTTGAGACTAAAGTGAAACTGAGATTTCACATAAAAATTTGAATTTCTAGTTTCTACAGAAAAAGAGTAAACCTGGCACCATTAGTTCCACATTCCTGGCACACCAATCTGAGACTGAGTAGGAGCTTCCTCACTTGAACGGGTGTGTTTTCAGTTTCCCACAGTCCTCATCAGCCTCTCTTTCTTCCTGACACTGTATTTGAGTCTTAGTATCCATTTATTTTTTTCTTCACATTAGAATACCATTTTTTAAATTTTATTTTTATATTCCCCATACAATTGCAACCCCCTTATTTTGACCCCAATCCCTCCTTTCCCCGCCCCCCCCCATAGTGTGTCTCTGGTTCATAGTTGTTTGTTGATTTTGCAACTATGTTGTTATAGTTATTCTTTTCTCTGGTCCCTTATTTAGTTTTCTAGATTCCTGCTATGAGTGAGATCATCTGGTATTTTTCTTTTTCTTTCTGGCTTATTTCGCTGAGCATGATCCCTTCCAGCTCCATCCATGTTGCTGCAAATTGTATGTGTTTATCTTTTTTGAATGCTGAGTAATATTCCATTGTGTATATGTACCACATCTTCTTGATACAGTCATCTAAGATAAACAGCTGGGACTACATCAAATTGAAGAGCTTCTGCACAGCAAAAGAGACAATAACAAAAACAAAGAGAAACCCCACCGACTGGGAGAACATTTTTGCACACAACACTAATGATAAAGGACTGATCGCAAAAATCTACAAAGAACTGATGAGACTCAATAAAAACAAAGAAAATAATCCAGTCAAAAAATGGGCAGAAGAGCTAAAAAGAAACTTCTTCAAAGAGGAAATACAAATGGCCAACAGGCATATGAAAAATGTTCAACATCACTTGCAATCAGGGAAATGCAAATCAAAACTACAATGAGATACCATCTCACACTAGTGAGAATGGCACATATTAAAAAATCTAGCAACAGCAAATGTTGGCGAGGATATGGAGAGAAAGGAACTCTCCTGCACTGCTGGTGGGAGTGCAAACTGGTCCAACCACTATAGAAAGCTGTGTGGAGATTTCTTGACCTACTAAGGATGGAGCTTCCATATGATCCAGCAATTCCACTCCTAGGTATTTACCCAAAGGACACAGAAACATTAATTCCAAAGAGCACCTGCACCCCTATGTTTATAGCAGCACTGTTTACAATAGCTAAGCTTTGGAAACAACCCAAATGCCCCAAAATAGATGACTGGATCAAGAAGTATCCATTTATAATGAACTTGAAAAAATACTAGAGAAATGTCTTTTGTATCCATGCCTATATCAGAAGTGGGCTGTGAAAAGCTTAAAAGAACAAATTTTAAGAAATGTGGAGATCATATTCTATAAAGAAGTAGAATAACCCAATATATTTAATGCACAACTAGTTGACCATTCATATTCATTTAAATAATCTGCTTCACTCTTTTAAGCACCCTTGTTTAGTAGATACTAGTGTGAAGTACAAGGTTGGAGGAAGAAATAGAAAAAATTGTATGGAATTATGGGAGAGAGAGAGAGAGAGAGATTAATGAGAAAAGTAGAAAAGACTCCAAGTGGTGGTAGTTGTGGGTAGAATGGGAATATTGATAAAAAATATGAATATTAATGAAAAAATAGTAGTCAGACTGAGCCAGATTGGATGTGTATGTAGGTAACAGGGTGATATTATTGAAGTTGTAAGCTCTGACTCATAAAATATATTGTAGGTTTATTTACAACAAAATGGAAAGAACAAAATGGAATATACATGCTAAGTTAAATAAGTCAGAAGAAGAAAGATATAGAATGATATAACTCATATTTGGAACATACAGGGGGGAAAGGAACTGATAAAATTTAGTCATGGCAAACTCTAGAAACAAGACTACACAATTAAGGCTTCTAGGAGTAGGGAGGAGGAAGTCAGAACAAAGGATGGAGGAAGCACAATGGTCTGTGGTAATGGACTATGGGCACTTTGTGATGGGTTCTGGTGTGGTGTCATATATCTGAGGAGGTGTGACCCTATTTCTCTAAATTATATACAATTTTGTAAATGAATATTACCTCAATAAAGAAACATATGAGAGAAAGAACAAATTTTTTAAAGATTTATTTATGCATAGAAGAACTGGGGTACAGTCGAGATGTGGGGGTGAGAGAGTCACCAGAGACAGAGTAGGGAACAGAACAAGCAGATTGACTGAAATACACTGCTGAGGGGAGCAGCAGGCGAGTCAGGAGAGGTCTGCTGCACCATGTGGGTATCTCCTTGGTTGGGAATTGAACACATGCTGCAGTGGCTGCAAATAGCTTCATAGGTTGCATCTTAACTCCTTGTGCCACCAGGGAGACCCAAGAACAAAATTTTTTAAAGAAAATTAGTTGCCTATGGGCACCTGGTAACTTCTGCTTTTAAATTTGCAGCACAACAGCCTCTGAGCAAACCTGTGAAAGACCAGAGTATGACAGACTGACAGGATCTTGTGTCATTGCTTTCTTCAAGGACATGGTAGATTGGCATCTAGAAGAAGTAGCCACATCTGGAAAAGACCTAGGGAAGTGAGGATGGGTGTCTCCTCAGGGATGATAGACACGGACCATCAGAAGGGGTAGGAGAGATTGAGAAGTAGTAAGTCAGGAATTGTACCAGTAAAACCGGCACAGTTTTACAGTGCCCTTCCTCCACTGAAGGCTTTCCCATGGCTCACCTCAGGATGGAGATTGCACATTTTGGCAAGAACACCGCCTGCTCAGTGGCAGGAACGCTGGTGGCCTATGATGAGTGTCAACAACGGGGAGAACACACTTGCTTATCTCTGGTACAATTTCTGGACCCCCAGGGCTGGCTGTTCATGGTCTGATGAGTCAGGAGAAGTGACTGTCTACACTCAATGTGAGATCTAGTGCTTCCCTAGTACAGTTGGAGAATGCAGGCCCCTAAGCACATCACTCACAGTTTACTGTGCAAGGGGATCCTGGATTAGCTTCTGAGAACCAGAGTAGTTATCAGCTGCGCACTCTTCCATGACATCCAGGCTGGCTCCCAGCATGTGCAGCCAGAAATTGTGAGTATCCTCCCTGACCCCCAACCCCCTCTGCAAGGAGCATTCTCTGTAGAGGAAGAGAATCTCAGGTTTTTCTGCCCTCCTTCAGGAGTTAAGAGAGGTGCCTGGCTAGACCAGCACAATCTCCATACCTGCAGTTTCTTTATGAGAGCAAGTAGAAGTACTGCGAGTCAGGAGTATGCTGAGAATGTCCCCAGTCTCTGAAAAGCACTTGGTCTAGAAGCCCCCTAAGAAAATTTAGGTAGGCAAGAAGACTGGCAGTGTTGCACTTTCATCAACAATGGAGCCAGACAGCCTCCCATGCTTGCAGTTTCTTTGTGAGCACAGACAGAGGTCATGAGCTCACAGGAGGGGGAGAGGTGTGTATGCCCCCACCCCTGTCACTGAAAAGTGTTTTGTCTAGAAGCTCACCATAGAAAATCTATCATGGCCTAATCTCTGTGGCCTAAACAAGTCACCAAGCCGACCAAATCTCTGGTTTTTATTGCCTCCCAGTATTTGCAGACTGGAGGTTATATGATTGTCTGGGAGTCTTCCCAGTCTCCTCAGGATGATTGCAGACATTCCTGGGAGCCCAGACAACAGGCCTGGAATAACTGTGGAGCTCTCCACTGCTGAACACACTCTCTGATCATATGGGTGTCTTGAACTGTGGAACAGACTATGCTTTCACAGTGAAGTATGTTCTCTTTCCAGGTCAGTGGGAGAATCTGGGGAAACTACTGGGGGGAGGGCCAATAGCCCTTCCACTGAACTAGCACCATTCCTGACTTACTGTTTCTCAGTCCTTTCTTCTCTTTCTGATGGTTTCTGGCACTCAGTCTTTCTGAGACACTCATACTCACTTCTGTTATAGATGTGGTTGCTCCCTCTGGGTGCTTACCTCAATGTTCCTGAGGGAAGCCATGCCTCAAGGGTCCTGTCTATCCACCATCTTTCATAAGCAAGTAACATTTAAAGGTAATCCAATCAGGCTGAAATTCAACTTCTCTAAGAAATTTTATAGGCAAGGAGAGAATGGAATGGAGTGTACAAAATATATAAAGATAAGATTACAGACCCAATGTGATCTCCAAGGGTTGGACTTAAGTCAAAGCTCCATATATTATTTGATATCCATAAGTCCACACTCTAACTGGTGGATCCTAAAATTTTGAGAGTCAGAGTCAGTTACAAAAATATGGAAATGTTTAGGAATTTTCCTTTCTCCAGAGTATTTAATAACCCAGATAAATGCATGTATTTCCTTTTGGATAAATCTGAAAGGAAATTTTAGAATACAATCTTGTAATCTCAGTTTACACTTCCTCAAGATTTTCTAACCTCTTCTTTCAAGGGTCTCTGCCTGTGAATTGATGAAAATTCATGACTCTTGTGGCTGCCTAAGTCAAGTATAATGTACATTAAATTACTTTTTTTAATTTTACAAATGAACTAACACTTAATTGGGCTGATTAATCCTTATCAGCCTCAGAAATTCTGATCAAAAAGTTATTGCCAACAATTTCTATGTATAAAACCAAGCAGACAGGAATCTGGCCTGTTGTCTACCACAAAAATCTCGGTCATCTTGTATCTCTGGCTGGTATATGCTGTCAATCGCCCCTTCAATTCTCGAAAGCCCTTCTGAATAGTGTTCTATTATACTATAGTCCCTTATATGAAAAAGGACAGACACCACTCAGAGTTCAAGAATACCAGTTTCTCTTCTCGCTAATATATTCCTCAGTGTCTTTGTGATGAGGGTGTCCTCTGGGCTCTGCTTGGGGTCATGGTAAGTAAGGGGTGAATGAGCCTGATTACTTACAACATGAATTGATCCATGTCAACAATTATATATTCCTAATCCTTTGAATTCATTCTTATATAAATTTCATTTAATGAAAGCCACATTTGCATCCCAGCTTTAGTCAACCAATCAAGAAAACTCTGTAAGTTTGCTCCTGGTCACTTAAACTGAACATCGAGTATAAAATATATGGTAACTGCACTCATATTAAAAACATTTCCTATACCCAAATTTATGTCTTCCTCTTTTATCTAAAACCATTAGATTCCATTTCCAATAATGTTTTCCAAAATTCTGATATACTCCCAGGGTTCGTTAGGCTCTGACTCTGGTTGTAAGTCTGGAGGCTTATGATGAATGAAGGAAGAGCTCTTTGAAGTGAATTTGTATCCCTGTATGTGAAGTGAAGCTGTATTCCTATAACTGTTTCAGGATCTTTAATCTAAGGAAATCTTAAACAGTAACGAAGGACATCTTTGCGGGACTTAGATATTCACAATACTCAGAGTCTTTGGAATTCACCCAAATGTCCTCATGCCAATTTTCACTCTTTCACAATCAATGCTCTACTTTTTAATATGAGAATTTCATTTTGGTTATAATTAAATGATCTAAAGGATAAAAATGTATATGTTAGCCATATTGCTATAAAAGCTGTTTTTAGGACAGTCTTAAAAACTCTCTGGTTCTCTGAGCTTTAAGTTGAGAATTTGAAATCTAAACCTTTAACTTAGTGGCAACCGGCAATGCCATAGTTCTTACAGGTCTTGTTCCCCTTAAAGTCCTATTGTGATCGCTAGTAGTCTCCTAAAGTCATTTTCTACAATTAGCATTTCATTCCACAAAACTATACTATCTTGCTATGACTTTCTACTTTTATGCCATTTTTCTTTGGGGATGAAGACTTAACTGATTTCCTATAAAACAAGGTCAGATAGCTAATTCCAAATTCCTGTCTTTGAGTTTTTCATCCTGGAATGACTCTGGATGCAAACATTGTTATCAGTCAGAATTTTACCAGGGGAACATTTACCTCTCTAGTTTGTAGGAAAAAAAAAAAAAAAAAAGACAAGGCATGATAAATAAAAGAAAAAGAAAAGACAATTGCAACCTGACAAAATTTTGGATAGGAATGGGGCGATTAAGGATTGTGAAACATACTGCTGGCTTTGAGGAAATTTAGAAATCTTAGTAAAGAACTAGCGATTACAACTTCTTGAAGTACCAAGGCAAGTCATTCACAAGAGGTCACCCAGAATTATTTATAAACTTCATGTTTACCATTAATCCAGGAATCTACCATCCACTGCTGATGGAAGAATAATAGCTGTTCTCTCTTCTGCCTTTAAATATTGTACAAGATTTTTTTTTTTTACTGTGGAATCTAAATGAGGTTATTAAGGAGCTTAAGCAATGTATTTTTTCTAGGCTCACAGAAATATAATATAGGGAAAAGTTTGGATGGGTAGAGATCATGCTGAATAGGAACATGAGCATTTGGCATGGTATATCACTATCAGATTCTCAAAAATGTTTGAATGTCATAATAAAATTTAATATGCAAATATTCAACTTTTTCCTATTGCTTTTCCGATAAGTAGGGGATTAGAGTGTTCCCATCTATTCTTTTTTCTCCTTTTCCTGAACCAGTTCTCACACACACACACATGCACACACACACACACCCCTATTTTTTTTTTTCTTGCATCATTGTTAACTTCTGGACAGTATTTGATTTTGATTTTTCTCTGCAGGAATAGTCCCTGTAGTTTTCCCACCCCCATAACACTGTTGATCTATCATCATAGTCCCTTATGTTCTTCTTACCTGTTTTGACCCCCTTTTCTTCTCTCTCCCCTGCAATATGTCTCAGATCTATCGTCAGCTTGTAAGTTTTGTCTTTTTCCAGATCCTTCGTTAGGTTTTCTTTAGTCTGCATATAAATGAAACCATCTGATATTTATCTTTTTCCTTCTGACCTATTTTGCTTAGCATAATCCCTTCTATAGCTCCATCCATATTGCAAATGGCATGAATTTCTCTTTTTTGATTGATAAATAGTATTCCATTATATATATATATATCTATGTATGTATGTATGTATGTATACACACACACACACACACACACCACTTCTTGATCCATTCATGTATTGGGGCATTTAGTTTGTTTCCATATCTTAGCTATTTAAATAGTGCTGCTATAAACACAGTAGTGAAGGTTTTCTTTTGAATTAGTGTTTTTGTGTCCTTTGGGTAGATTCTTAGAAATGAAATCACTGGGTCATATGGTAGATCCATAGTATTCACAGTAAACTCCACATATTTTTCCAAAGTTAACTGAGCCAGATTACAGTCCCACCAACAGTATAAGAGGATTCCTTTTCACCACAATTTTGACAGCATTTGTTGTTTCTGTTTTGTTTGTTTTTAATATGAGCCATTCTCACAAGTGTAAGGTGATATCTCATTGTGGTTTTGATTTGCATTTCCCTGATAATAAGTGATGTCGAACAATTTTTCATATGCCCGTTGGCTATTCCATGCAAAGCAATTTAAAGATTCAAAGCAATTTCAATAAGTCTCAAAGAAATGGAACAAATATTGCTGAAATTCACATAAACTAGTCATTTTGAAACTTTATGATGAAGCTAAGTAAAAGAGATAGCTAGAAAAGTATTAAAGGACATTGGACAGAGATTAGGAGGGATATTTTAGGGTGATTATAAAGAAAAGAAAAGAACTGCAATATTAGAGCTTTGGATGAAAAAGGAAAAGACTTTTAATTTATTTATTTTATAGTGCTTAAGAAACACAAGTAGGGCCTCCCCTGGTGGCGCACAGGTTGAGTGCTGGGCTGCGGGGCTGCCCGCGGCCTCTGGGGCACGGCTTCCATCCCCAGCCACCCACGAGGGTCCCACGTGGCGCGCAGACCTCTCCTGCCCCACCCCTCTGCTCCCCTCAGCAGTGTGTTTCGTCCAACTGCCTGTTCTGTTCCCGGCTCTGGCTCTGGTGGGTTCTAGCACCCTCCCAGGCTTCTGACTGTACCCAGTGCTTTTATAAATAAATAAATAAATCTTTAAAAAAGAAAACACAAGTAAAGGGCCTCCCTGGTGGCACAAGCGGTTGAACACAGTGCTGCGAAGCCTCTGCAGCCTCTGCAGCGCAGGTTCGATCCCGGCTGACCAGGGAGATAGCCACATGGCTCGCAGATCTCCCCTGTCTCCACTGCTGCTCCCCTCGGCAGTGGATTTCAGACAGTCTGCCTCTTCTGCTCCCTGCTCTATCTCTGGTGAATCCTCTCACCCTCCCGCACATCTGGCCTGTACCCTGGTTCTTGTATGCATGAATAAATAAATCTTAAAAATAAAGAAGCAGCACAAGTAGAAGATTTTAGTCATTTTGGAATTCCTTTGGCTGTTGCATTTTTTTTGTATGTTCGTGTGCAGCAAAGAACCGCAAA